TCTGTGAACCAAACCTCACCAACTGTTCCATTTCTCTGAATGCGAGAAAATTTTGGGGAGACGTTGGCAATAGTTCACGAGAGTTGCACCCTAAATGAAGTATCAAACAATTACTCGCCAAAAAAGTCAACGACCAACGAAAAACAGGCAAATAGATGCGTGCTATCACGTCGGTCTGAAAAACATTTTTGAATCGGTAATCCACAGGACGCGATTTTTGTTCGAGCCGAGAATCTCACGAAGATTTTCGTGATTAGCTATGATGTAAGAACGCCATGAACAGAAGCATTTGTCGACGGCTACATCGCGGAAACAAAGAAGTTGAAGGCGGATGTCATTGAAATTTGCGAGACCTACAGATGTACCCAACTTGTGCAGTTGAACAACGGTGATCAAGCATTCCTCAGAAAGGCTTTCGAGAACCAATGATATAAAGGAAGGCTGTGCCGTTTGTAGTGAGCTGTGATACATCACCTCGTGTAGCTGTAGTTGGCGAAGAAGAACAACAAAAAATATTCCATGCTTACATATCAGTTCGCAATTCTGGGAAGAATTGACAGACACGGTTGGGAAAGAAGACTATGTGCAAAATTGTCCAGTGAGACGACAGTGCAGAGGCCAGCAAAAGAACGAACGTAACGGAGGTATTTATCGGCAATACGGAAAGACGAAAGAAATAAACATTGAAATCGCCTCGCAGTTTTCGCTGAAGGCCGCCAACTCCACGTAATGAATACCGTTTTCTAGAAAGCTCCACAGCGACAGTGGACATAGAAAGCCCATACCCAGACGGAAAGCCTTCGAACCAAACCCGACTATGAACTGACCTTCAATAAACTGATAATATTGGATGTGTCGTTCACACGCGGAAGCATCGTTTCTACGGGATGAGAACCACTGGCATTTACATTCCACTGTTACGATCAATGTCGCAATAGAAGAACCGACCAAAAGAGCCCAAGGATCGCTGCTTAGTGTAGAACTGCGGCTTGAACCGGAAGCTTTCGCAGAGAAGCTGGCATTAATAAACTTTAAAATGAACATCAGTGAATCAGTGATGACATAGACGCGGATTATGATAATCTTGTCAGTGCAATCAAGACTGCTGTTGGAACATCAGGCCGGACAGCATTGTTAACGAGAACCGACGCATGAGCCCAAGGCAGCTAATGGCTAGAAGAGCCTAGCTGAGACTGAAAGGGTAATATAAAACATGTAGTCTTCATTTACAAAAGGATACGGCAGAAGTTGAGGAAAGACTATGATGGTTATAGGAGAATGTAACTAATTGAGGCCACGGCGATTAGTCGGATGAAAAACCTGACCGGTGTGAAACAGAATATTCGAATGAAACAGCAGATTTATAGTTTGCTGAAAGACGAAGGAAGAAAAAAAATACTAGTCGCAATCGGAAGAGCACAGTCTGCACAAAGTTCTGCCACATCCGGTGCTCTTCCAATGTGTGCGAAATCAGCGTCCAGGCAAAGACGATATAGGGCCAGAACACTTCAAAGTACCAGGAATAATTCTGCTAGAGTGTGAAAGACATCAAGAACGATTCTTTTCTCACGAGGAACCGCCACCTTCTCACAATGACAAAAGACTCTCAACTAATTACACTCCTGTTGCAATTCTGCGAAGTCTTCAGCCTCAACATCTTTAACCATTACGGAAGGACCTCGAACTAATCACAAGTCAGGAACAGGGTTTTTTTTGCAGTCTGCCATATGCATCCCATGCAGTAAGACGATGCAGACAGAAGTGCAGTGACTGTCAGATGCTACTCTGTTTTGCTCTCATCGACTACTGTTAGGCGTTCCATTCGGTGGAATTGACGTCTGTGGTAAACTCCTTGCATGAATATGGCATAAATCCTGCTGAGGTCAGCGTGGTCGAGGGATGGAACACAGATTGTATGACTGATGTCACGAAGTTTAACGAACTGCGTCGTAACAGTATCCATCGAGGAGTGTGCCAAGAAGATGTCCTCTCGCCAACGCTCTTCGCCTCGTTCTTTGAGTCACTCTGCAACAAGCTAACCTGCTGCAAAGGCATCAGTATTGATGGAGTGCATCTACCGCCTTTGTTATTTCCGGACGACTGCATTGTTTTCGCACAAGATATGATGTAGCGCTAACAGATGTTCCATCAGACTGCATGAAGAATGTCTCACGATCGGTTTAGAGGTTAGCCTCTCCTAGGCGAAATGA